GTGTGCCTTGGCAGACACAAGGGGACGGGTAATAACAAGAAAAGCATGACATGGGACCTTTAAAGAGGGGCTTTTTTCAGGTTCAACATCATTGACAAAAGATGTAAAAATATGGGTCGAGGATGTTAACTTGATTTCTAAAATGTAAAAATCACTGCAGTGCTGCTTAATATTTGAGGATTTTCACTGACTTTGCAACAGGAATTCATTTTCCCAACATCAAGTTACCTTTCCAGAGCCCTCTGACGCCCTCGTCCCTGGCGATGGTCCTGTAGGCATCGAAGGTGCTGCTGTATCTCTTCACAGAGCCGCTCTCCAGCAGGCGGCTCTGAGCCTGGAACCTGATTTTCACCACATCAGTGGGCTGCGCGAAGGTCACCGCCATCGCCCCGGTGGTGCAGCCCGCCATTATCCTAGTACCGATTCCTGCACCTGTGATACAAGAAGAGGCGCTTGTTTTTCTCTGATGCAACACAAGGATGTTAAAACAACTTAGAGACTGAACAAGGGTGCAGTTTTGATAATTATTCAATATTTTATTGAATTAGGACAACAAATAGATAGAGAGATAGATAGATAGAGATCCCAAATTGGGAAATTATTGGGTTACAGGAGCAGAACTGTGTTTTGGCACTGTCTGGGTTTTATATGCCTTTGAATTAAATATTTAAAATACAAACCATCAACTAGAAATAACTACATCCTGGATTTCCTTTAAATCTATAGCTTTAATTTAGCTTTTTCATAATTTAACACCCAAGGCCCCAATAGCTGCTGAAGGAGCACATTGTTTACTTTGAGGACACAAAGATGACAGGAACTATTCTCCAGTCAAACTGGTTTGACTGTTTCCCTGCAGGCGTACAGTACACTGATATGAAGACTGAACCTGGAGTGAAGAAGTAGTTTAAGCTTATTATTATTTCCAGAGGTGGAACAGAACAGTCCTCCTTAGGCAAAAACACAAATATAGTCCCTGAAACAGGAATTTGACCTTTGCCCTGCATCCTGGAGCGGTCTTTCTGTAAATGGCAAGCCCAAACATCCAGCTTTATGATGAGAAATATGTTGTATTTATCCTACAGCATCAGTAGGATGATGCAGTCTAACTCGCCACACATGCACTAAAGCAGGGCTTCTGAAACTCCGGACCGAACCCTGTGTCCCATTATAAAAAATAAAAATTATACAAAAAAAAAGAATTCTGATTCTGATGTAAATTACTGTATATTTTCTTGTGTCTGACGCGTTGTGAAAATGAACGTCCATATATATTTACTTGTGTGCGCGAGCGTGACACACATTGCAGACCGCAAGTTAACCGCAAGTTTACCTTGACTTTCTAATGCTTCTAATGCCTTTTTTGCCGAGGTTCAAGGCATTGGCTACAGACAAACAGTGCCATTTCTCCCACTAGTTCAAGCCACCATACTGTATGTATGTATTGAATGTGTGTGTACACAGGGGCGTCGTTTTCCGACAGGCAAGGCAGGCATGTGCTTGGACCAGAAGGGGGCCCACAAAGAAGGTAGATTAAGAAGGTCCGCAGCAGGCACGTGCAAACATAGACATCAAAGTGGGCTTGAGCCCCTGCCCTTTTTCTTCCTCTAGAGAAAGTGCCCTTTTTTCCCTCTTTTTAATTTGTTTTATAAATTAATATATATCTACTGCTGTTTGCGCACAGTTTCCCTTTCCAAAAATATATTGATTGAATACAAAATATCAGGTCGGGAGTTTAGACTGTGAAGTTCCGACAGACAGGTAGCAGCACCTCCCACTTTACTGTCCCATGTTATGCCGGCTTTTCTTGGCTTATTTTGAAGGTGACTGGTGATGAACAAATTACTAAACTGCCAGTGCCTCGAGTTTACAGCTAATTAGCTAAAAGACAATAACAAATATAACTAAGGTAGGCTACTAGCTAATGGATAAGTTAGCTCAAGGTTTAGCTAAGGCAATTTATCATGGGCATACAGGCATAGGCGTGAGGCTCAGGTTTGGGAAGGCTAAATAACTTTTTTTCACCTGACGCAAAGAGATCAACTCAGTGAAAGCCGGTGCTTTCACTGAGTTGATCTCTTTGCGTCAGGTGAAAAAAAGTTATTTAGCCTTCCCAAACCTGAGCCTCACGCCTATGCCTGTATGCCCATGATAAATTGNGTGAAATTTAAAGGACTAATTCACAGCCACACAGTTCAAGGAAAGTCTCTTTAAATGAGCAAATAAAAGACTGTGATCATTTGTGTGGCTCATCCACAGTTTAACTATGATACTGTATCTTCCCATCTTTAGACCAACAGCTTGAAATCTGCTATTTTATTAACAAATATATAAAAAAAATACTTCAGCCCAACAAACTAAAACATTACCACCTAAATAAATGATCAGTTAATAACTGATTTCCATCTTAAAGAGATGTATTTCTTTACAATAACACAATGTAAGCTATAGTGTTTCTTTACATGAAGGTCTTATCAGCACAATTTCTTCCAGTCAAAAAACCTTTATTGGGTTGGAAACACTATGAGTCATGACTGATACCAGGGACGTGCACACACAGACATTTTGGGGGGCGGGGGCTCAAGTGAGAAAAAGGGCAGTTCCCATAATCATTTATAAAAAAATGTTTCAAAACAAAAAGTTAAATATAGTTGCACATGTCTGACTTACTGACCAATTAATTTTAATACCCTCACACTCACGCAATTGTTAATACTCAACAGAATTCTACAAATGGTCTTCTTTAGTATTCACTAAGCACAAGAGCAGACAACAAACTAGTACAATTAATAGTTATTAAATGAGCAGCCAACAATCAAAATTATGAAGTTACTGTTTAAAACAGCAGTAGATACTGTATATATTCAAGGGCACTTTCTCTGGAGGAAGAAAAAGGGCAGGGGCTCAAGCCCACTTTGATGTCTATGTGTGTACGTGGCTGACTGATACACTCACCTCTAACCATTTTATGCCCATGATTCAACCGTTTCTTCCAGCCTTTTTGACCATGAAATCTTTGTGGTGTGAGGTTGGAAAATGTGTAATGTCATGCATCAGCTTTATTCATCTGTTTCAATAATGTAAAAATGATGATCATAGCTAAAAGCTGCAGATGTATCTTTCCTTCTTTCATATTAAAAAGTCTAACTCTATATTATTCTGTGGCACAACAATTTATATCCTCATTTGATATACAACGCTCAACCCTTAGTGATGTGATGTGTAGGCCTATAGTCATTATTCACTTATTTATTTTATTAGGCTATTCTCATTCATTGCCATTGGTTTTACTGCTTTCTCCTTATTCTTCAGTCCTTTTTATGATGCATTGTTGTTTATTTCAGTGTATTGGCTATATTAAGTGCAAGGTTTTATCACTGTTTATACTGTTTTGAACCAAATTACAATACACTGAAAAGGTCTTGTTCTATATTCCTATGGATCGTTTTATTTTCTATGACCAATTTGTATTGTTCTTCAAGATCGCCTTAAGGTTCCTCACCTGCAACAGGTGAGACTATGTGAGCACATAGTCGCTTCTTCCTTTTTGTAACCACAGTCTACAATCTTCCCTGCAGCTTTTATGCCAAAGTGTCAGACCTGCACACTGAACTTTACAAAGGCCGGGCGACTGCGATGGCCAACCCTCTGGTGGCTTTCACCCTGATCAAGCGGCTGCATTCAGAGTGGCTGAACGTAGTCCACAGCAACGAAGCCCAGGAGAACACACAAGGTTGGCTCTCTGCCTTCTTTACAGACACATCTGGTGGTGATAACGCCCCCTACTCCTCTTCTCAGCTGTCCACCCAACCCCCCAAACTCACCTTTTGGCCCTCTGCTGTCCAGCCCTCAGGTCCAGTTACGAGAAGGAAGAGGCGGATCTGCCCAAACTGGAAGACCTCCAGGGGGCCGCCCAGGGGCTGATGAGGCTGCAGGATGTGTATGTTCTCCAGGTAGCCAGCCTCGTAAGGGGTCTTTTCCAGAGAGTGACTGAAGGCCAGCCTATTGATATCTACAGGCCTGCGGTGCCTGTCCCGCTGTCGGGGGATGACTGCTTCCTGGTTGGAAAGGTACACAATTCATTATTTTCGTGTATTGCTTCATCCAATTGATTTTAGGTTATTAGCCTTGGTGGAAAGATAATCTGCAGAAAAGTCGCCACTGACATACGTATCTTTAGGCTATATATGATGTTATTAGATTTGAACAATGCATCAATGGGGAACTGGTTGGTTTATAGGGCGAGTGTGGCTGTGAGGGAGTGTGGTCGTCTTTCAACCAGAAGGTTGTGGGTTCGATCCCAGCCCATGCAGTCAACATGTCGATGTATCCTTGGGCAAGATACTTAACTCTGAGTTGCTCCCGATGGCATGGCCAACGGTGTGTGAATGTGTGTGAATGTTAGGTCCTAGAGTAAGGTACACTGCTCTGTATGAATGGGTGTGAATGGGTGAATGACATGTAGTATGTAAAGCGCTTTGAGGGGTCTTAAAGACTGGATAAAGCGCTATATAAGTACAGTCCATTTACCATTTATATAGCCTTCACCTGTAGGTAGCTTAGGAGAGAGGCAATCTAGAGTCCCAAGATAATTCTGAGAGGACATGATACTTTTAATCAGAGAGGAAAGTGGGGAAAAAAACACAGTCCTGCGACACACATTTCTGTGTGTTTTTTTTAAACTTGACTTAACTTTTTGGTAAAATATTTTTGAGATGATTTCTCTTCAAAACACTTAAAATGAAACCATCTGCCTGAAATAACTGTAGGTCATAATTAGATACACCTTTTTTGTAAAAGAAAGTTGGAAATCAACCAGTAACAGCTTGCAAATAAATGTTGTTGAGGAAAAAATGTGTAACCTCTTAAACTAAATGGAGAATTTGTATCATGTGATGTAAAATAGTAGGCTTATGCAACGGAAGGCTTATGTAAAAAATTATTTTTAAGTGCAGTTCTTCAGTAACTCATTGCTCTATTGCCCGTTTATGGGCTCTATTAATCCTAAAATGCAGAAGAAAATGTCGGTCCTGATAAACATCCCATTTTAAAGGTCTGCAAAATACTTTTATTCCTAACCTGTCAGTCATTGTGTGGTGGGAATCCAGACAGTCATGTATGGAAAAAGTGAAATTCTTCCCATTGCGTGCCTGGGAATCCGTTCCATGGGAAGATGAATATACTATTACATACAGAAGCAGAATGAAAGAAAAAAAAGTTTTCCCAGCTATAAATTAAATGTGTTATGTACAGTGTTAGGGCAGGGCACTGTGTGGGAGAGACGTTCTCCTGCCTGGAAAATACATTATCTCACTAAGCAGAAGCTTTTGGAGCAAAGAGCCTGAGCTTGTCTTTACTCGTACTGAGGCTGAGATTATCTGAGAGAATCTTTAACCACTAACAAAGTGAAAAAGCTGCCACTCTGAGAATATATATGGCCGTTAAACTGTTACTCAAACCAGCAGGGTTAAAAGACAGACGTTTTTAGTTTGTCGGCGATTCTGCCCTCAAGCTATTCTGAGATATGCAGAAATTAGCTTTTTTTGAAAATCAATTGGTTCTTTAGAGACTAACGGCTCCCAAATAGTGGGTTGCAATGTTGTGAACTGTGTGTGTTGGGGAAGATAGGTCTGTAAGTGTGTTTTTGGGGGGGTTACTGCGACACTGGAATTTTGTTTGTGTGCAGTCTGGAGGGGGTTGTGGATATAATCTGTGATGGGGGAGACACATGGCACCCTGTTTTATGTGGGTGCTGTCAAGCCTGTAGTCAGCACCTACTTCATCAAGTCAAGTCAGATACAAAACAGGTTTCAGACCGAGTAAAGACTTTCTCGGTGTAAAAACAATCAAGGTGTTATATCAACAGACAATCCACAATGTAGTTGCTTGAAATCAGACAGGGGTACTCTCTTAGATTGACATGCTCACTGTGGAGCAGTTTGACTATTAAAAAACAAACAAATCCAGAGATGCATCAATTAGTCGACAAAATGGAGTTGACCCAAAAAGAATTCATAGTAAATTAACATTCTTTGGCTTTGGACTATTGGACCGACTATTATAAACTTTATTTAAACCGCTAATCTCATCATCATGAAGATCAATATTTTTCTTTCGTAAGGTTACAGCAGAATAAATAAAAACAAAGATACACAAAAAAATACAGCACCCACAAAAAGCATCAAAACAAATCACAGACATAATTAAGTAGGTACAAAATAAAAGGATTATATTCATCTAATGGCATAGTTTCATGTTTAAAGTTTTTTTATTGGCTGTAATTTAGGTCACATTTATGGATTCCTCCTACCTGCCATCAGTGGAAGATGCCAAGTCTTTATGTAGCAGCTGATCGCCTGCTTCACGTTCAGCAGCGACGTATACATTTCCCCTAAAGACATGGGGATCACAGCGACAGTCAGGAGACTCCAACTGAAGCAAACACATGTGGAGTACTTCATCTCCAGCGCAGATAATACGTTTATGTAGCAGCCAAATAAATCAAGCTTGGCAGGGTGACAACACCAGCTGAATGAACAGATACAACTGGTTAAAGAAACTGGTCTGATAAAGCTGCTGCCTAGGGCTTTAATTTACGCTAACTGACTACTGCTAATTAGATGTCACTAAAAAGAGGTCAATAATCAAACCTGGAACCCATGAGTGCATATGGACCAGAGCCAGGTGACATTAAGTTATTAAGAGCCTGAATACTACCAAACATGGGGAATACTTTAGCCACCGTTTGAATGACTGGCTGTAACCCTGACGTTATTTTACCCAGGTGGCCTACGAGCAGCAAGACTACTACCACTCGGTGCAGTGGTTGGAGGAGTCGGTGCGTCTCTTCAGGGGCGCAGGAGGCGAGTGGATTCCAGAGAATGCAGGCACTTTAGAGGATGCTCTGGATCACCTGGCCTTCTCTCATTTTAAAGTAAGTAGAAGGACACTTTGGAAATATACATTTGGAAGTTGACTGATAGATTGCCCTGCCCTAAATTCCTCTCATTGTTTCAGACGGGAAACATCTCCTATGCTCTCAGTTTATCCCAGGAGTTACTGCATCATGGTAATACTTTTTTATTTAACCTGCCCTTTTCCTTTAACCCTGTCTATGGTGCATTACAAAAATGACTTGTTTGAACTTGCCTGAACTGACAGTACTAAGAAGTATGCCCAGTATAATGTACAGAATTTACTCGTTTTTTCTCAGATCCAATGAATGGAAGGGTTTTGCAGAATGTTGAGAAATACGAGAGGCTGCTGGTTAGGAGCCCACCCTTATCAATCACAGACCATGGTCTGAAGAGACCCACCTCAAATAATTTAAGGACCAGGGACACTTACGAGACACTCTGCCAGACCCAAGGCTCTCAGGTAGTCATCACAATTTATCATTCTGAAAGATACTGTGTTAGCAAATTAACTGGAAGGTATCACGGATTAGTTAATACAGCAAAGTGTTAAAGCAAATGTGCAATGGAATGAAATCTGCTTTTTCAATAGCAGATGGCCCTGATGGATTATACCAATTAATCTAAATTCTCATATGTTGTTTGTTTGTCTTTGTACAGTCTATGTTAGAAAAAAATATCAGGTATAGTCAGCATTGAGTTATGCTGGATGTGTTATGTTAAAGAATTCAGTTTATATGGATCTTATATGGATATTTGAGCTAAATGCTAACATCAGCATGCTCCCCATGACAATGCTAACGCTTATGATAATGTATTTTATGTCAATGACCATCTCAGTTTTGTGTGTCAGCATGCCAATATTGGCTATCTAGCTACAAAGTAAAACTGAATCTGACGTGATGTAATGTATAGTTGGTCATAAACCAAAGTATTGGATGAATTGAAACTCTTACATGATGATGGCATACCAAATGTCATGGCAATCCAACCAATATTTGTTAAGATGTTGTAATCAAATTTGACAACAGTTTGGAGTTTCAGCTCCAATGTTATTAAGATGTAAGTTTGTAATGGATATTTCCTAGACCATAAAAAGACTATCAATATTATAATTCTTTGAAGCTCCTGCGGAAAAAAAAGAACTAAGCTATAAGCAATTGTTTGCGGATGAAGAAGAAAAGAAAATTCCTATTTTGTTCTTGTTAATGGACTTCAGATGTCTGATTCTCTTTGCAGCAAATGCATTTTAAAAACCCCAGACTATTCTGCGACTTCTTCACCAATGGAAATCCTGGACTGCTACTGCTGCCAGTGAGACGTGAAGTGCTGAGCCTGCAGCCGTATGTGGTCCTGTACCACAACTTCATCACTGACACAGAGGCTGAGGACATCAAGATCACCGCTCACGCAGGAGTAAGTGCATCTTCCTCATCACTTGAGGGTTAAACCAAAAAACATGTTTCTCCAATACGTCATCCTTATAGGAACTAAGGAAAAAAGCCATGTTTTTTCAGTTAATACTGCATTTTTTACTTAATCCAATTAGAATCTGAAATAGTTTTGAAATCCCCTGTTTTGAAGAGTTTTCTCTCATAGGACTCACAAAAACGAGGCTGGAAATATGTTTTCATGACAACAGCAAGAGTTCAAGTCAGTCAAAATCAACAAAAAGCGTTAGAAAATCGCCTGGATTTAACACTTTGCTATTGCCATGTAAACACCCCTTTTGTCTCACATTGAATAGTCTGGCCTATTTCTACTATTGTTTTCCAACAGTGAAGATCCAATTGCCTTAAAATTACCCTGGGATATTATTTTGTAATGGCCCTTGTTAGTGTCTATTTAGGTTACTATGTAGCTACTAGCAGGCAACTTTCCTATGTTGATGTTGGCTTTGTTGGTATCACATGGACATCTGCCATGATGTTAGCTTTTCATTCCTCTTAAATTAAAAATGCAATGAAATTGTCAGTATTTGAGCACTGAGATGATTTTTGGAGGCATGCAGTGACGCATTTAAATGTTGAGAAGTTGTGAGAAAGCTTTTGTCTTTGTCAGTGGTGAACAGTGATTACCTACAGTACATTTGCTTTGGTTCTGTAGTTAAGGACACTCACTAAATGGGGGCATTTTGCATAATGAATATTTGCTCTTTTAAAACTTACATTTAGCTGATTATTCTTTTTTTGTTTTAAAGAGTGCATCGAAGAAGGGGAATAAGCTTGAAGCCAAGTAACAACATTGTGCTTCATTGTCTTGAATCAAGATTTAAATTAGTAAAAAGGTGCCTATAACAACACATATTTTGTAAACATCCATACTACCTGAGAATCTGCTCTGCAGTGGGTCTCTGCTAGGCTTCTCTTACTGGAAAGATCCTATGGAGGAAGAGTTGGTCTGCTTCCCAACGTTTAGCTAGGCTTAAAGGAATGAGGGATATACATTACTACAAAAACTTGGCTGAGCGCCTCAAACTGTCCAAATAACCCCACTGTGCACCACTGTTAAATATTCAGTCCTCTCTGATGGAACCTCAGTATCTCAGTGAAACTCACTTCTCTGCTCATTTAATGAAAGCTGCAGTGCATCGTCCTCAGAACTGACTTGTTACTTGAGGGAATATTTGGTGGGCTAACTCAATTGGTCCCTATAGCTTCTGTGAGGTTTTGGCATTGTTCAATGAATTTTCCATGCTGTGCTCAGATGGAAACCCCTGTACTTATTTCATCATTATGTCAGCCTGTGGGTTTATTGTAAACAGGCCCAAACAGCATTCGTTTGGAGCATTCGCTAACCATAGGCAGGTTTCACATTCAGCCTCTAACACAGGTCTGTTGTGTGGAGTTCACTGACCTGGCATATACTGTACTGCTTCCTTGATAATACATTTATGGAATAATAAGTTGTTTGTCCGTTTTTTTTTTACCATTAATGCTCTCTTCTGTGCGTTTTTAGACTTTAACGTGTCTCAGCCATATGGTATCTGGAAGTCATCAGGAGTTTGAAAATGAATCAGAAACGTTGTTTGACAAGCTTTTAGGAGAGAATAACATTGTAGAAGTTTATGTTCACATTGGAAATTGGCATACATGTGAAAAAGGTCCAAATATAAACTCTATGGAGCACCCCTCCCTTTCATCAACATTTAGTGTGCATACGATTTTAGAAACATAAAAGAACATAAATTCGGCTCTCTTAATCTGCTCTTTTTATTATTATGTAGTAATTTACAATTATGTCATTGGAGCAGGTTTTTATGCTAATACTCACATTTGCCAGGGCCTGCAGCTTGACATTAAAGCTTGGCTGCTGTAACAAATACAAACTTATAAAATATTGTTTTTTATCTTTGCTGACAAGTTGAGACGATCTGTGGTGGCAGCTGGAGAGAAACAAGCAACAGCAGAGTACCGCATCAGCAAGAGGTGAAAATGACTTACCTTTGCCTTAGTATTAAATTAAAAACTTATCAGTGTGAAAATTATGTAAAAAGTAACTTTTTCATGGTTTCGAGTAGTTGTTAAACATAATTCTTATTCTAGTGCATGGCTGAAGGACTCAGCCCACTCCACAGTTGGGAAGCTGGACCAGAAGATCTCCATGCTCACAGGTCTGAATGTGAAGCATCCATATGGCGAGTACCTCCAGGTTGTGAATTATGGGATTGGAGGCCACTATGAGCCGCACTTTGACCATGCTACAGTAAGTTGTTGTACTTTTTAAACAAACTTTATTATATTGCTATAGACTATATTATCATGATATATTACTGTTTACATTTTCCAGTCGCCTTCAAGTCCAGTGTTCAAGCTAAAAACTGGGAATCGAGTTGCAACCTTCATGATTTATGTAAGTGATTTCTCACTTTCACCATATTCTGACCCTGTGTGACCCAGAGAGCAGCCAGAGATTTTTGGGCAGGATCCTGTTACTCCTGCTCCAAAGTCTAAATTAAAGACATAGAGGTCAGGCCTTTGCCAGGAGTGCTGCAAGACTTTGGAACAACCTGCCTGAGAACACAGCTTAGACGTGACCTCAGTGCATAAAAAACACTTTTACAGATGTTCTGTCATGCAACAAACTAAAACCAAACTCTATTTTTCGTCTTTTGCCTCCATAATAACAGCCTTCTTTGCCTATTTTATATATTTAGCAACATTTAGCATTATTAAGAATTTCATTTTAACATTTAAGTGGAAGAATGGCTTTCTGCAGGGCTATTTAAAAGACTGCAGCAGACGGAGAAGCTTTTCACAACACAAGCGCATAAACACAAGACACAACTCTGAAGGAATGTCGTTTTCCACAGCTCAGCTCGGTAGAGGCAGGTGGGTCCACAGCCTTCATCTACGCCAACTTCAGTATTCCAGTCGTGGAGGTAAACACTCTGCCAATGTCTAAGCAGCATATTTGTGTCATTTCTGCCTCAAGCTAGACTATTTCAATTTACACTGTGCCCCCCCTTACATTCTATGGAGCAGCTGTCAAAATGCTAAAGGGTCAGACCATAGCAACAACAACCATGAGATTCTTTATCCTACACAGTACTGCTATTGTAAATTTGAGACTCAGTGGAGGTTGAGGCTGTATTTTGATTATGAATTGAGCCGGAGCATAAGGTTTATCAGGACATCCCTGGGGTTTCACCTTACATTTTAGTAAGATTTCACCTACTGGTTGTTTATACTGAAACAAATTATCTTAATAAACTGTTGAAATTAAATACTTACTAATATTATACTGTAACTGCAGGAGCTCTTATACAATACTTGACATTCAGCTTTAACCAAGATAAGCTCTAACCAGGTTAAAACTAAATCTATTTTGATAAACAGAGATAGGTTAGCTATTTTCAAGCTTAATATATTATTATTAAAATAGCCTTTTAGCCTATCTATGGGGAGGATTTTTTACTTTTCTGTGTTTCAAATAAGAGTAAGCAAACTATCTTTTGTACTTTTTGGCCAACATTTTAAACATTGTGAAATTTGATTGCCATTCTTCAGTACTTTGGATACAAATATTGATCTATTAACCGAGAAAGAAGTGGTCAGATTAGTCAATAACTAAAATGGTTTACTTCCCTAGCTAATAAAAAGTTATATTTCCTTGTTTTTTATTTTGCAGAAAGCGGCCATTTTCTGGTGGAATCTGCATAGAAATGGTCAAGGGAACGAAGACACGCTTCATGCTGGTTGCCCAGTGCTTATTGGGGACAAGTGGGGTAAGAGTCAGTAAACCCCGTATGATGTGATAGTAAACCAGAGCAATTTATCAGGCCCATGTTTTCATACAGACAGATTTTGCCATTTTGTGCCATTATCACAGTCTATTTCCAGTGTTCAGCCCTCCTAGACAGGAGCAAATGTAGACCTACAACCGTTAGGCAACATCTGTGCTGCATTATGCATTTAGAGATGATAGAGAGTGCAGTTCAGACCTCATCCTGAAAGCTGAACATCTGCTTCTGGTTGGCCCAGACCATCAAACTCCCAAAATGTGTGTTAGGGACCCACTCAAGCCAGCACAATGATATGAACCCACACAAAGCAGCTGCAGGAGTATTTGGTGGTTGTGTTGTTGTTTTTTGAATCCATAGACCTAACCTGAAATACATTTAAGGCTTTAAAATTGAATAATTGAAATGTTTAGAGGTGTAGTGTCTAGGATTTCGAGGGATTAATGGAATAAATTGAATATTGTATTTGTTACTAATATATCATTCATGAATAAACACCTTAAATGAACAATAGTAGTTACCCTACAATGAGCCCTAAATGTGTACGGGAGCAGTTTTTATTATACCTCAAGGCCACTGTAGGTTTTCCGACATGCTTGTAAAAGGCTGGAAGAAAGGGTGTTAAGTAGGTTTGAACTCTCTGACCTCACTGCTAGAATCCACTACATCCTACTCACTTGAGCTTTTAAAAGAAAAGGCAATCAAACTTTAATTTATCAGTGCTTGTGTCCTTAAGATATTAAAACATAGTTTGCATCTTTCCGTATCTTTCAGTGGCAAACAAATGGATCCATGAGCATGGCCAAGAGTTCCTTCATCGCTGCAGCCTGAATCCTGAGGAGTGAGAGGAGTGGAGCGATTGCTGGGCCCCTTTGGAGTACAAGAGCCAGCCTCCACAATTGAGAGGCACGTTTGCAGGCAGAGAGAAGGAGGGAGCCAGAACATAAGCCCACAGGCAGGGGAGGGTACAGCCGTATAGGGGCAGCCAGTGATTGGAGCCCCGGGCCCATGGGAGCCCGAAGCGTACAGTGCTGTGGTGGACATGGATAGCACAAGGCTGAGAGGCGGGATAGAAGAGGCTGTTGGCAATAATCCCCAGAGGCCAAAAGCTCTCTTGCTCTTACTCGCCAGGTTCTGCAGATGGAGTGAGGCCTCTGCCTTCACACACTGTGCTGGATTCAGTTAACTGTGCAGGGGCTGTTTGCTTCTCTCGCTTCAAAACTGACATTTTATGCAGCCCCTTTCCTACACTGGGCAAACTTAAGGGTCTGCCATCACATATCAACACAGCTGTACCTTGTGCAAACTCTAAGAACCTTCATTCTAATGTGTATAAGTTTACAAAGATTCCTGTGCCTGAATCACAGTGAAATGTTTATAAAACGATGCACAAGGAAAGGAGAATGTTGTGCAAGTCAATTTATTTATAAAAAGGCTTTTAAGGGCTGGAACAATCAGATATAGAGTATGTGAACTTGTTGTACAGAGTTTTATTTTAAGGTAATATCTTTGTTCACTGCAGCTAAGCAACAGAGATTGGTTCAAGTTATTCTACAATGGGTCATCTCAGACCCCCGGACTGCAGCTCTGACTGGTGCTATGAGTCAAAGGACCCAGTCATTGTGAGCGTGCATGTTTATTACCAGCTGACTAAATGATATAGTCACTACTTCCTGTGAGATCATTTCTTTAAATAAATGGTTGTCTAATCATGGAACAGTTAAGCCAGATGTGTCATCCTCTTATTGAGCTTCAGAGGCTGGGCGTCAGTAATCACACTGTGCGCCAAGCAATGGGAAACACTTTGGCTGCCGACTTTGTGGCTAAACTAACACAAACAATGCTGTCTGCATACCATTGAAAGGTCATATGCCCATCTTAAAACAGGGTGAAGTGAACACATTATTTGAATTCACTGTAAGCTTGGGCATCCTGCTGATGAATGAAGGAATCTGTGAGAGTGAATAATAAGGGAGTGACAGAGGAATAACACCCCGGCTTGCTCATCGTGATGAATGTTTTCCTTCAAGCACCCCACGGTGTACATAAACAGACGCACCCTTCAAGCTCATGCTGACAGAGAAAATATAAGAACAGGCCATATACTGGATGCTTATTGCACATGTCTGTGTGCACACTCAACAGCAGGACTTGATTATTTTAGCTTGGAGTGGATGGATAGCAACATGCTGCTTTTGGAAAGCTCTAATCAGTTTCATTGCAGCAATACATACCATTTAAAAAAAATGATAAAGCTAAATTAACACCATATTGTCAACAAAAGGTTGCATCTACTTTGGTCATATTTATAGAAACACATAATATTGTATTTTCTTGTACAGATAAGGACTATTTTATGTTGTATGCAAATCTATATGCATACAATCTATTTATAAGAGATTATATGTTATATATAAGAAACAAAAAGGGAATTCCAGGAAAGCAAAACGGTTAAAGTAATGTTTTTACAGGTCCCTCTTACAACCTGAAGCCTGACTTTTCCCTGAATTTCAATGGGCTTTATTTTGCACTCTTCCTATACACCCTAAGCGGTCCTCCCTGTTTCCATGAACACCACTACAAACATGGCTTTAGAGTGACTTGTTGCTATGCGATAGCAGTGCAAAAATACCTAAGCATACATGACTAGAGCATAATATGTACCTCAACACACTGCCAAGTACATACAGTAATTCGTTTAACAAATTGGCAACATTCCAATCTTGTGGAACATGATGAAAAAAGTTGAAAAAAGCATCAGTGTTTGTGCACATCTGGTAGAAAGAATACTTGAGTAAACACGCTGACGGAAAGAGTGCTGACTGACAGAGGAGCTGCTAAGCAAAAGTCAAATAAAGGGAAGAAGTTCAGCACATATCATAAAATCCCAAGTTGGAGAAAAAAAAGAAAATCACTACAGACTCCTGTGAGTGGCTTCGTAGCTGTGATGGATCAGTGTCACCCTCTGCTGGTGATGTAAGTGAAGGCTTCTGTTTTTTTTTTATCTTTCCTCAAACAGTCCAAAGACATGCAGCAATAGGTTCATTGGCAACTCTAATTGCTTATAGGTGCAAATGTAATGTTAAAGAAATACCCTAAAATACTTTGTGTATCAATTACTAACCCTGTGTTACCTTGAATGCCATATACAGTAACTTAGTTTTTCTCGCCTGCGTCCAAAAAGAATGAATACAAAATACAGAGAAAGGTCTTGATGAGTATGTAGCCTGAATGGGGGCTGTATTTCACAACAAAACGTTATCAAAACATCCATTAACACACTCTCTAACAATTCGGTCAGTTCTAAGTCTAATTTTTTCAATCCTGTGCTTTCCCAAAAACGTGCATTTTCAGCTGCAATACTTTATAAGCTTGATCATTTAAGTCTGAGCTAAACCAGCGACTGTCATCATCATGTAACGCTCACCTGGGTTAGGGTTAGGGTTAAACGTGTGTTTATGATTTTTGGCCGCCACATCAAAATCAACTTCATTTCCCAGAATGCTTCTGTAAAAAAGCAGCGGCAGCGGAGGCTGCACTTTGTCGCTCGGGAACAGTTTAGCGGGCTGCCGTTTGTATGTTTGTGTGGGTGTGTGTGCGAAACCCAAGCAGCTCTGTTAAACGGATTAAAGTTAGTGGAGTTAGTGCACAACCGTGATAAAAACCATGGCTGTTGAATGTTTAGGCACTGCTTCTGCCAGGCTCTTATTTAACACGCATATTTACTGAGCTGCAGGATGAACAGCAGAAAACAGAGGACCTTCAGAACCGGAGGCAGCAAAAAGAAAGGTAAACTGTTGTTAGCTTAGCTACCTGCTAGCATGCTGCTTAGTTACGTGAAGTAGCTGTTAGCGTCAGCTGTCACATTAGCCGAGTATATTAGCTTGCAAGCTAAAGTTGATGTAATATGCTCTCACTTTCTGACAATCGGATTTTGTTTTTGTTTGTGGTGTCCATGTTAATGTATTGCAGTGCCTGCATTGCACTTTGTGGGTATCCTAAATTTTGTTTACAGTAAGTTAAGCGAAACTCATAACATCATTTTTTCGCAGAGAAATTATTTTGTATATATCAACAACGTTTCACTCGGTTGTGTAGTAACATATTTCTCTTATAATTTTATGTTCATGTATTTTGTTATCTGCTGTGTCGTCTAGAACTTCGCAGTATGTGTTGTTGTTAGGTGTTTTTACACACGTTGCCTAGATACAATATTAACTTAACGTTAAATATTGAACTACAAAATAACTAATTACGAAATGCATTGCAGTAGGCAACACCTCAGGTTTAACGCTAATAATTCTATGCCATAGTGACTGTGACACAGTTTCCCAGACACAGCATGGCTGCTCCACTGATTGAGGTGAACTGTCAAAAATAGTTTCTAACATTGCTGGGATAATGCATCATTGTCGGAAGTATCATGCCTGTTTAACTCATTATTTGAAATCCAATATTCCTACAGGGATAAATTCAGTATCAGAGAGATCAATGTGGATATGTTTGGTTAGCATGTTGATGCACTGGTAGCCTCTGTGCATATGTGAACAGTAGCTCTCATAGAGATAATTGTTACAATATTAATACCATTTTTTACGTTAGCAATTTTTAACAATAAAGCGAATATATACAAAAGCACATTTCACACTATGACATATATCTTAAAAACATTATTTTAGTTTTAACTGAAGGAAAGATAAAGATGTAAAGAACATATCAATAAAATATGATTCGTTGATCTTAATCCTTCAGCTAAAACAACTTTACTACCTTTAACATTGAAAGTGTTGTAATCTGTAATCAATTATATCTCTTTGCAGTCCCCAGCGATGTGCCCCCCGCCACCAGCCTCCCTCCTCTGGTCGAAGGCCAGCTAAGATGCTTCCTGCGGCTGACCATAAGCAGGGTATTATGGACAGTTCATAAGCCTCCACCTGCAATATTTGTGAGGCTGCGCTGGTGGGGAGAGTCCTCAAACGGGACACACTTCTTCCCGAGAGATGGCTCACAGCCGTCACAGAAGACCATCAAGACCACAGCTCGCTTCCCCATCCGCTGTGGACCAAAGCAGTTCACCTCATATCTTACAGGTAACTAAGATATCTTCAATGTGTTTGCGATGGAAATGTTGTCACTAGCCAGTAACATTTTAATGATGAACAGATATGGGCTCCCTGGTGCTGGAAGTTCTGACAAAACCTGATCATCTGCCGATCGCAAGGGCTCAGGTTTCGGGTATCTCTCGCCTCTCTCTGTCCCACCCCATCAGTGGATTTTACACCCTTATATCACCTACATCGGACAAGCTGGGAGAGTTAAAGGTTAGTCGAAACTTGAATTCACGTTCTTCTGCCACCTGCATTTGTGGAATAATGTTTGCTATACTGAAGGGTCCTGAATATTGAGACTCCTGAAATTAAATTTCCTTTCCTTTTGGCAAGAGTAGGCATCTTTACCAGCTGCAGGGGTGCTATTTATATCAGACTGACCATTTAAATATCTCTTAAGCCTTTTACCATTTCTATCCACTATTATATCGGTAAAGTGTTTGGGACATTCACTATTTACAACTCATCACCCACGTCATGCTAATATAACCATTATAAAAGGTGGCATTGAAAAACTAACCATTATAACTATAATTAAATAGATAAATTGTAATATTTGCAATTTATCTCTGCACAATGATACTACTTTAAAAATGGCACAGCTCATCCACTTTAAGATATACTGAACACATTGTCATTGTTTTTTGTCATATTTTTTTTGTGTTTTACTTGAATGTTTTTCATGTACACATTCTCAGATTTGATAGTATTCCTTTTCCAGGATCTGCTCCTATGTTACATTCTAATATCTCTTTACTATATTTTGTGAGTCTAATTCCTTCTATGTGAAAACCAATTCAGCAAAAAAACAAGATTCTGATTTGAATAAATACTGTTAAAAATGATCAAGCTGTTATATTTGTTGCACCAGGAGCAGTACCTCTGTGAAATAAGCTTTTCTTTCTCTACCTCCTTAGGTTTCCCTTAATCTGGAGCCTCTGACAGAAGCCTATGACAGCAGCAGCTCTTGTCCCATCACAGATATTAGTGTTGAAGGACCACAAGTAACCAAACTGAATGTGCCCTCGCAAAACAGACCACTTTCCGCCGTCAGCAGCAGTGGAAACACTCCAAGGTTCTAAGTAGTTGTGTGTCTTGTTATAAGCTCATTGGTAGTACCGGTAAGTACATCCGAGCATCATAATCTCACTGTTTATATTGTTGTTATATTTCAGAGGGAAAGACCACTTGTATTTCCAAAATGCACAGAAGAACAAAGAAGAATCACTGGAGAATCAGATGCCGACAACAGACAAATCTCCAAACAGTCAAACGGCCATGAATCCTTCATGTAGACAGCTCTGTGGTCAAACCACCAATGATATTCTTTCAGGTTGGTTGCAGCATGGCTACACAACATGAGCGCATAACCACAAATGCACACAATGAAGTAGGGCTGCTCGATTATGGCAAAAATCCTAATCTCGATTATTTGGGTCAATAATTGATATCACGATTATTAAAAAAGATTATCCATTTACTTTGAAAACATCATTTTATTGAAAAAAAATGTTTTAACAGTATGTTTTTAACAGTTGATTACCCTGAACTTTAAGTATAATTCAACTGAAAAACCAATTAAAAAAAAAGAATAAAAAAAATATATATATAAAAAA